CCTACAAGAGTATCCCACAAGAGTTTCCTACAAGAGTGTCTCACAAGAGTGCCCCACAAGAGTGTCCCACAAGAGTGTCCCACAAGAGTGTCTCACAAGTGTGTCCCACAAGAGTGTCCGACAAGAGTGTCCCATAAGAGTGACCCACAAGAGTGTCCTACATGAGTGTCCCTTAAGAGTGTCCCACAAGAGTGTGCCACAACAGTGTCCCACAAGGGTGTCCTACAAGAGTGTCTCACAAGAGTGTCCTACAAGAGTGTCCCACAAGAGTGTCCTACAAGAGTGTCCTACAAGAGTGTCTCGCAGAAGATCAGACGCCGCAGTTGTGGATTTCTCTGTATTATGTGGACGGTTATCATTTTCAAGTGCTTCTTTTCGAGATTTTGGGACAATGCCATTGTTTCTTTCGTGATGTGGATCTGCCAGAACCTTTACGCCAGTGCTTGATTTGAATGCAAAACGAAGACCCTTCATGACGAAGACGGAGCTTGGTGGTGAAGTCCCCAGCACATGCTGCCTTGGTGGTGGAGTCCCCAGCGCATGATGTCCAACAGCGTGCCGGAGCGTGAAAAAGAGACTCTAACCGGCTGTGTCTCTTTCTATGCACAGTGGATTGACATATGTGTTTGCATTCGGGTTCGTGGGCTCCATCTTATTTTTTTGCAAACAATGTATATATATATATACATATTTTTGGTTGACCCCATTAGCAGTGACAGTGGATGATGATGGTTACTAGGTGCCTTTCTCTAAAATATTGAATTAGTGATAATTGTTTACTGACTGTTACGCGTATAATAGGACAGACTCAACATATGTTGACCATTGCCATTGATGATGATGATGATGATTGTTATTACTTATACTTTTATTATGCTGGTGGATCTGTTAATATTAAGTCAAAGGTCTTCCCAATGCTTCTGGATATCCTTGCATTTGTGTGGCGATGTTTGATTCTGAAACTCAGTAATGAGGCTGAAATCGGAGCCATTTGTGGGTGTTCTCTCGCAGCATTCTCACAGATCTCACGATGGATGTCCCCATTTGTTTGTCCATGTTTGTCCTAGTCTCATGATTCGGAAAAAAAAGGTTGAAACAAGAGCAAGCTCTATGGGGCACTATGTGGCTGGGTCAACTCCCATCTGACGAAAGGGCCACTCCGGACCACCTGACCAAGGGCTTCTTCCCCAACCGAAGATTGACATGGAACTTGCAAGCGATGGGCTTGTTTGGAGACGCCAGACAAGTCATTCAAGGGTGCACAATGTTTGGGAATGTATGGTACTCTGAGTGAATCCTTGCCCAAACCGTTTGGTTTAAGGTGTTGTAATTCCCACAAAAAACAGGCCACATGTTCTAACCGATCCCATCACCACAAGTTGTTTTATGCAATTCCGTCGATGTGTCAGCGCTCGCAAGGAAGGTTCGACAGGACGAAGTGCTGGAGGAACAGGGTTCGTCCTTGCGGCTCGGCCAAGTGCGGGGGTCCTCTGAGAACTTAGTCTTCATACAGAAGGAACGGCCCATCCAGGAGGTGATGGAACATGAATGGATCAAAAGAAACATAAGAATCATGAATCATTAAGAACCCATGAAACCGCTGAGGCTTGGAATATCATGTTCCACCAGGTGTGTAGTGACATGTTCGTGCAGGAGAGGGTACGTTGACGTAACTTTGCAGCTTCTGTTGAATACAAACTTGCTGGGCAAATGCACCACCTATTTTGCAAAAGTAACTATGCCTTGATGTCCACTGACCTACTGCAGACACTCTTGGCCGGAGGACTGTGAGCTCGTTTGTTTAGGACTACGGCGTTGAGCCAGACTGAACCGAATCTGCTGACTGGTGATCCCCTTTGACCTTTTTTAAAGTATGACATGGGGATCCAGTTCCACTACAGAATGGGTTACCAAGTTACCAAGGGTCACGTCATAAAGCACTGGACTTGGAAATGTTGGAACATATTTTGTAGCACAAAAATAGCATGGGCGAAGGTAGATTCAGGATGTGAGCGCAATCATCATGATGCAGGTAATGTCACTTTAGAACCAATATGGAATTTGCGATCTAGAGCAAGCTCACTATTCGATATGTTTGGCCGGTAATGTCACTTTATAAACGAGCGGCTTCTTTCCATGATGGCTCAAGCATCCCGAACACTTCCGAAAACAGCGACAGCAAGTCACAACCCAAAACAACAAGAGATCTGAAGCGAGACGTGTCACAGATTGCCGAGGAAAGTCATGGAAAAACATAATTCTTCAGAGTTTGGTTAAGTAATTTACTGTACATAAAGGCCTGGATTTGAGTATATGTTAACATGAGACTAGTTCTTCCAGGTTTGGTTATGTCATTTTATAAGATTTTATAAGAACTCATGCGCTTGGCCTTTCCTCTATACTTTTTTGCTTGGCTCTTTTTTTCTGTGGTGCCGGCTAGGTCATTTCATAAAAAGGTTGGTAAGTCACCTCATAAAGAAACTTGCGTTTGTTCATACCACACATGTTTTGTAGAATCCGCAGGCCAATAGTTTAGGTACGGGATGATAGGTCCGAGTTACTATTTTTTGTGCGTAAAAAACACATATGAGTCTATACGTGTGCACGGTCTTTCCGTAACTCCATATTATGGACATTGGATGTCTTTCGGGTAACATGTTTTGCTCTTTAGGGGCTGCTCACAGGCTGATGAGGGCACCTCCACGTCGCAGACTTCACGGATTTTCACGGCCAAAGACGGGTGATTGTGTTTCTGTTGGTGACCTTGAACGCCCACGTCTGCAAAGCATGGTGGATTGATTGATCCTATGCAATGCGATTAGCTAAGCTGTTCACAAACATAGTAAAAACTATGCGGAAGCCGAGGTGTATAGTTTATGCATTGAAGTCATGTGAAACAAACCATCGACACTGAGAAACAATTTTAAGTGCTGAAGCACCCATGTGTGCCGGATCCATACATATCAGTAACCCCTCTCAACCACTGTACTGCACTGAGGTACAAAGTTCTCAGCTTTGATGGCTTGAGTTTATCCTATGGACAGACTTCGCAGGAGAAGCGAGGGAGATGAGATGGCACCAACACCCTTGGAAGGGCTTAGTTCACCGTTTAATCTGCCAGAGCAACAGGATTTCGCAGCAGCAAGAAAAATCCGATTGAACTCTAATCAGCACAAACAGGCCGACTGAAACAATCCTAAAAGGTGGTAATGAACTTTGTACCTCAACTTCCTGCAACAAACACTCGGACACAGAACTGACACTGTCCCTTTTGAGAGCTCACAAACAGACCTGTCAGACATCGTCAGAGCGTCCTCCCTTTCCACAGGAGCTCTCGAAGGTGGTGAGCCCTTTGAGGGCGGAGTTGAAGGCGTGGGGGCAGGGTTATGTTTAACAGAACCAGCAACCATACTTGGAAGAGAAGGAAGCAATAGGAAAGTAGCGGCACAAGATGGCACAAAACTGAAGTTGTCAGCCAGTTTGCGTACTAATGAAGCCCTGGCTTAGTAGCAGATTGTGGATTCTTGTTTCTTCCCCACCTGTCAGGTGAGGGTTGTTAGACTTTAGAAGAGGATCCTGCGACTCCTCCTCAGCAAGCTCCAGATGCCAGTGGGCACTCCCGGACCGCAACAGCAAGCTCCAGATCCCAGTGGGCACTCCCGGACCTCAACTGCAAGCT